TACCCCCCTGTCCAGGTGAGGTTCCCTAACCCTACCCCCCTGTCCAGGTGAGGTTCCCTAACCCTACCCCCCTGTCCAGGTGAGGTTCCCTAACCCTACCCCCCTGTCCAGGTGAGTCTCCCTAACCCAACCCCCCTGTCCAGGTGAGGTTCCCTAACCCTAACCCACCAGTGCTGGTGACTCGCCTACTGCCTGCCAACCAAAGGTCTGGGTCTGGCACACCTGAAAGAAGATTAGCTTCTGCGATTCTAAACTTCTAATGCTAATGGCTTGGATAAGATTCTGAGTGGGTCTGGAAAAGTCATTCACTTTCTTTAATGTCATGTTACAGCATGGTGGGCAGTTTGAGTGACTCGTGTGACACGGTGTCCGAACTCAGACTAACCCCTGACGGCGGTTTGAGCGACTCGTGTGACGCGCCACCTGAACTCAGACTAACCCCTGACGGCGGTTTGAGGGACTCGTGTGACGCGCCACCAGAACTCAGACTCACCTCTGACGGCGGTTTGAGCGACTCGTGTGACGCGCCACCAGAACTCAGACTAACCCCTGACGGCGGTTTGAGCGACTCGTGTGACGTGCCATACAAACTCAGACTAACCCCTGACGATGGTCTGAGTGATTTGTGTGAAACAGTGTCCGAATTCAGACTAGCGGCTATGTCTGTGAACTCGCTGATGTTTGACTTTGACTCGGATCTCAGGACAAATCAAAGTTAATTTGTCTGTACACAAAGCAGGAGGGAACAAGCAGGAATCAGGCAGCTGGCATCATTGGCTGTTTGAAGTGGGGATTCTCATTTGTGGGGAGTGAGTTATCCCGAACGCAGGGTGGGGGGTTGCTAAGAAGCACTGAAGAACAGACGGCTGGCGGATCGCCACGGAAACACAGCGCGGCTGCTTCCTACTAATCCTTTGTTTTGTTGTGCTAGAACAGTTGTCCCTGTTTTCATTGTGTTTTATGAACTGGCTCCAGCTCTGTGGAGTTTATGGAGCTGACTCTCAGAAAGGGACCGGCTCCTGTGGAGTTTATGGAGCTGACTCTCAGAAAGGGACCGGCTCCTGTGCAGTGATCCAGTCATACATAGACACACGCACTAGTGATGTCAAAAGTATCGAAAGTCATAAAGGATTGATTCAAGTATAAATTGGTATCAGTACTCATTTTTCATGGTGTTGATTCTACAACCTGTACTTCTGGTTCTCTCTGACCACTGAGGGTCATAGACTACCAAGGAACATACTTAGACCTGAGTGCAGTACGGAATATTCGTTCAGAAGTCTCAGAACTTTAACCACTGCTCTTAGTCAATAAAGACTGTAACTCAGTGATGTCTGGAAATACTTGGCTTTGTGCCAAATGAAGATGATAAACCATAGGATGGATGCAAGCCTGACTGTAAGCTTTACCACCACCAATACTGACAAAGGGGGCAAAATTAGCACATATTTAGCTAAAGACTTTAAGAACAAACACAAAATATTTTCTTCACACTCACCGGTATCCTGTTGGGTATGTGCCCTTGTTCACCGGCAGCTGGGGGGAGGGGGGGTTAGCCTGGTAAGATCTAATGAGTGACCCCTGATCTAATGAGTGACCCCTGATCTAATTAGTGACCCCTGCTCCGCCCTGCGATCCCACATCCCAACGCTGCACAGTTTCCAGCCCTAGGCTTAGGGTTATAGCCTGTTTGTTGTCCTTGTTGGACTAGCAGAGGTCAAAGGTCGTTGCTAGGTTTCTTTGTCATTGAGTAAAAGAGGCCCAGGTCAGATGAGCATATCTGACCTATGGCACTTCTAGGAGTTGCTCAGGTTGTTTTTAGATTGTCTGCTCTAGAGGGGGTTGTCGAGGCAGTAATGCTCTGTTCTGTACCGGGACTTGCCAGGGTGCGTGTGTGTGGGCCAGGCCAGGAGACCAGGAAGTAATCGATGTCCCAGCCAGTAGCTGAGTCATAGACCTGCAGATGGTGAACAGGGTGGGGGGCACAAACTGCAAGCCCCACAGACAGAGTCCCGACCCAACCTCTGACAGGACTCGCAAATCAGGGCTGTGCCTGTGTGTTGCTTAGCAGGCTGAGTACCATGTACTCAGACTTGTGCACATGGCAAACAAAGGCTCATTTAATTTTCATTGTTTAGGTTTCTGTGCTGAAGGACTCCAGGGTTCCACCCCTTCTCACCCCTTCTGTCCCCATGTCTACAGGTGGCCATCATCGCCGGGAACTTTGACCTGGCTGAGATCATTAAGATCCACAAAGCATCGGATGTCGGTGAGTAGCCACTCAGGGATGTGCGTGGCAGGTGCCCTCCATCTACATCTGCGTGCGACATGGTGTGGGTGGTGTGTGGCTCTGCTGCTTAGGACACTGTGCCTGTGAACAGAAGGGTGCCAGTTCAAATCCCAGGGAGTGATCTCACCATCGGGCCCCTGACTGAGTCCATGGACCCCAAGACTCTGTTGGGCTGCTGACACTCATCACTGCTTGCTGGTGTCACTTTGGACTCACAGGCTGGATTAATCCTCCCTGGAGCAGCCGAATGCCGTGTGACTCCTTGCACTCTTCCCCATCACCCATGGCCCCCAGTAAGCCCAAAACTTCCCCTGTAGGCTGGTGATGTTTAACCTGCATACTCAGGGGCAGGATTAACTGCATGTAATCTAAAACAGAACCGTCAGGAGGTTCACTAACATGGCATAGAGCCCAGGACCCACCAGAGGAGGCGACACCCTGGTTGCCAACGTGTCCCTGGACAGGGTAGTGGGGCTGTCTGCTGACATGCCAGGCGCGAGAGAGCATCGTGCACTCTGAGCCTGAGCAGGACCCCCCCCATCCTGCACTCTGAGCCTGAGCAGGACCCCCCCATCCTGCACTCTGAGCCTGAACAGGACCCCCCCCATCCTGCACTCTGAGCCTGAGCAGGACCCCCCCATCCTG